CCATACTCCAGCCTGGTCTACAGAGTAAGACCTTATCTCAAAAAGAGAGGGGAAAGAAAAACAAAGTTACGTCATTTGATGATTTGACTTACCCAATCATTCGTACAAAACAGTCACAAGTATAGGAAGATAAGTATAAGAAAACAAAGCCTATAAAGTATAAGAGCTCTAAGTAATTTATGTAATTAAATGCTTCTTGTTTATATTAAAAGCATTTACATTAAATGGTAACATGTCATCAAATTATTTTCAAGTAAGTTCAGTAATATGCCCTATTCTGGTCCAGAATGTGAACTTATTTGTATAAAGCATCATCTATTTTTCTTTCTGTCACTTTCATATCAAGAGTGAATAAATTCCAAAAGATAATCCTTAGTATGTGCCTCAGATTTATTCCTTTCTTTCTGCCCGTAACCACCACCATCTTGGTTCAGACTCTTGCGGATGAAAACATAAGCGTTTGGCTCCCAACTGATACCCCTGCCTCTAGTTTCTCTTTGCTTCCATCTATCTATACATCATTATATTCCACTGTTTAAAAACTAATAAAAGTTTCCCAGTGCATGTGAAGGTGGGTTAGCATAAGTTATCCTAAAATATTCCACTTTCACATAAGAATTATTTTGTGCTGAAGGCATTTCAGTTTCTGAAATCCTTATCTGCCTAAAAGCAGGGCCTCCTAAAAGAAGTCAATTGTCATAAAAACCCTCCCCTGGAGAAACTCTCATCTCTCTTCTTAGAGAGGAAAGCCAGCACCACACCCAGATAGACACTGTCACAAAGGAGCCTATCTCTAATCTATTATCCTAAAGACCCATTTATTTCTACAAAAAGTCATTTGCTTTCTGTAAGTGCCCTTACTTCCCCCTCTCTTTCCTCTACCAAGTTAGGTGTACAAACTCAAAATTTCAAACCTCCTTTTGAGTAACTCATCTCTGGGTACACTCGTGTATATGCGACACATATGCGAATAAACCTCTGCTTGCCTTTCTCTTATTAACCTGTCTACTGTCAGACAAATCTACAGGGCCCCAGTCAGAAAACCTAAAACCCAGCTTAAAACCTAAAAGACTTTTTTTCCTTCTCTCTACATAGAATACAAAATTCATTTTAAAAATACGCCGACATTGAGATCTCCATGTTGAGGTTCAAAACAATCCATTTTTGTTGCTGTTTTGCCTTAATTTTTAAAATGTTCCATGCTTACAAACAGTTGTTGTAAGTGAAACTTAACCCTTAGTTATTTTGAGAATAAATGGCAGTCACAATACTAAACCACCTATGAATACTTTAGCGTGTATGTGTTGACGTGTATTGTACAAATAAGCATGATAGAACCATCAGAATCATCTAATTAACATTTATATAGTACTATCTTCTAATCTTCAGACCCGATTTGAGTTTTTCCAAATGTGTCAATAATATCCTTTAACAAGGACCAAGTTCAGAACCACGTGTTTACATATTTTTTTTTAATTTTTGTGGGTACTTAATAGGTGTATATATTTATGGCATACATAAGATATTTTGATATGGGTAGGCAATGCATAATAATGTCAGGGTAAATGGGGTATCAATCATCTCAAGAATTTATAGTTTGCGTTACAATCAATTCAAATATACTTTTACTTATTTAAAAACTTACAATTAGATTATTGACTGCAGTGCTATCAAATGCTAGTCTTATTCACTCTCTTTAACTTTCTTGACTTTCGCATCCTTGATACTATAGCTTAGAATGTTTCTCAATTTATTTTGTATGATATTTCCTTAAGATTAGACTGGAAAGAGCATCACAGAAGTGATGCTGTGTTCTCAATGCACCCTGTTACATGGCACATGAATCTGAATTATCCCACCACTGATGTTGAATTGATCATTTCATTATGCTGGTGTCTGCCAATGGTCTTCATCTGAAAAGTTACCTTTTTCCACTATAGTTGACAAGCATTTTGTGAAAAGGTATTTTGAGACTCGGTAAAAATCCTGTTTCTCACAAAACTTTATTCATTTATCAGCACAACTTATTTATGTATCAGCACAGACTCACAGTTTCCTACTTTATTCAAAGAAATATAAATACATTACTATTTATTTTGTTGTTTAAAATGTACAGATTTGGCCAATGCTCCCCTTTCAAACTGGCCTTTGTGACCTTCTTCTTTTTTTTTTTTTTTAAAGACAGGATTTCACCATGTTGGTCAGGCTGGTCTTGAACTCCTGACCTCAGGTGATCTGCCCACCTTGGCCTCCAAAGTGCTTGGATTACAGGAATGAGCCACGGTGCCAGGCCTGGCCTTTGTTATCTTCTAACAATTCATCATCATTCTTTGAGCCTGTCCTTACTTTCCAGAAAAACAAGATGCTCCAGGCTCATCTTGTACTCTCTCTGCCTCAGTTCTAGAATCAGTCATTTCTCCAAGGCGACCTGGTTCCTTTTGGTGGAGAATAGTATGTTAAAACCAAGATCTGGACACTAGAGGAGGATACTAATACTGGGGTTTTGCTATTCCCAGGCTCTCTCAGTGAACACAGCTGAGGGAATATGTGTATACATATACATAAACATATATACACAACACAGTTATACTGTATTTCTATGTCTTACTATAGATAGATAGAGAGAGAGAGAGAGAGAGAGAGAGATAGATAGATAGATAGATAGATAGATAAAACTATGAGTAAATACTGATATAATCAATTCCCATCGAACACCGCAGGATTCATTCTGGTTTTGTTCCTTCCCATATTTGTGATTTCCTTCTCTAATAGAGACAATGGGCCTTTTATCTATGTTTACATATTTCATCAATCCCCCTGTATATAACTAACTTCCATTTGCTGCTGCATCCTGCACCCTTCTGTGTGGATACTCTTCTGCACAGAAGCTCTTATCTCACCTCCTGTTTTTGCTGTGATCACTAACTTCAAAGAGAGTGCTGTATAAAACTAAGGATTGTAGCTATATCCTTTCTCCCTTAAGCTATTCAACACCCAAAACTATTCCTCTGGTTTGTGCTTCTTCTCTTTATGGAATTCAAGCTTGACATATTCTTCAACCAAGAGTTCCTAAATACTTGCCTGACTTTCCCACAATCTAGCTATCTTTCTGTTCCTACCTACCCACAACAACTGCCCCTCCATGCCCTACCACTACAAATTAAGGGAGATGTGCCTACACTGACTGATTTCTGTTACCTGAGTACAGAATTATAAGGTCCATATAATTAAAAAGAAAAAGATACTTCTTTTCTGAGTTGCAAAATTTTCAACTATTTCCAGTAAAATAATTGTTATTTTAATTAAAAATAATGGAGAATGAGGAATGGTTAGTTAATACCTGCTTTTACCACTTTAATTGAAGCGTGTCTGCTGTCTTTCCTCCATATCTAAAGAAAATGCATCAATATCTGGGGCCACAGTACAAACAATCAAAAACTTGTTCACAGACAGTGACTAAGAAAATAAATACATTTGAAATCACAAGCTTTGATATCAGTGGAGAATTCTGGAGAAAAAAGGTGACAGCCTGATTTAAATATTTGAAGGGCTGGCCGTCACAGTTTGGTGTGATCCTTAAAACATGTTGGGAAAATTCTAGAGATTGATTTTTTACAAAACACATCATACACACCCACCAGAGATATGCGAAGATTAGATAACTACCTGGAGAGAGAATAAGTACTACATTATTAGAGATGTTCAAAGCACAGATTGAACAATACTTTGACAGAGATGTAAAGGCAGGCAAAATGGCAAAAAAGGGAAGTACTGGACTTGAGGTCAGAGGTCATAACATATTAGTTAAAACCAGATTGCAGAGTAAGAGAGGCCCAGATTTTCAATGCAGCAAGCCAATTACCTCAGCATCAGTTTCCTCAAATGCAAAATAAAAATTTTATTTATATCTCATAGAATTTGAATTTAACTCATTAATATACAAAAAGGCTATCCCACTATGTGTCCCAAATAAATACTTAAATAAATGCTATCTATAATAATTACAAAACACCTTGTAATCAGCAGGCCCTATGTGATGGAAGGCTTTACTATTAGACCTTAGATCTATGAATGCAGGAACCTTATCAAACTTGTTTTCTTGGTTTCCCCAGTCCTTAGCATAATGCCTGGCACTGAGCACATGACTTATAACTATTTGTTGAATAAAAGGAGATTAAAATATTAAAGGGTTGTTGGATTATGGACCTTTTAAGGTTCCTTCTGATCCCGATAATGTCTTTATGAATCTGACTACGCTAGGTACTTCATAGAAATGGAATCATACAGTATTTGTCTTTTTATGACTGGTTTATTTCACTTAGCATACTCATTCAATTAGGACATTATGAAGATCCATCCATGTTAACAGCATATGTCAGAATTTCCTTTCTTTAAAAGGCTGAATAGTATTTTATTACATGCATCTACCACATTTTGTTTATCTATTCATCCATCAACAGACACTTGGGTTGCTTCCATCTTTTGGTTAACTGGGAATAATGCTGATATGAACATAGGTGTACAAATGTTTCTTTAAAGATCTTGCTTTCAGTTCTTTTGGGTATGTAACCAGAAGTAATAATGCTGGATCATATGGCAATGCTGTTTGATTTTTTGAGGAATAAACTGTTATTAATTAAATGGCAAACTGCCTGTCCGATTCCTGTGGGAAAGAGGACTTCTACTACACTCCAAATGTTAATACTGATAATGACTGAATGACAGGACTGTGAGTGAATGAAGTTTATTGTCTCCTTTTTCAACTTACTGTAATTTCCAGATCATCAAAGGGAGCATTAGTACGTAAACAAAAGAATGAAATCACATATAGAGTTTTTTTGCTACTATTACTTTTTTCGTGTGTCACAGCAAATGCTTAAAAATATTCCTAGCCCCAAGGCCGGGCGTGGTGACTCACGCCTGTAATCCCAACACTTTGGGAGGCCGAGGCAGGTGGATCAGTAGGTCAAGAGATTGAGACCATCCTGGTCAACATGGTGAAACCCCGTCTCTACTAAAAATACAAAAAATTAGCTGGGCATGGTGGCGCGTGCCTGTAATCCCAGCTACTCAGGAGGCTGAGGCAGGAGAATTGCCTGAACCTGGGAGGCGGAGGTTGCAGTGAGCCGAGACCGTGCCACTGCACTTCGGCCTGGCTAACAAGAGCGAAACTCCGTCTCAAAAAAAAAAAAAAAGAAAAATTCCTAGCCCCTAAACATAAGTGCAAGCATACAGCTGTAATGCTTTTTTTTTTTTAGTTGAAAGAAGTAAACATCAGAGATTTTTTAGTGTTTGCAAATAAAAGTGATTCCTAGGTAGGTGGAAGATCTCCCTGGTGGTTTACTTAGGCAGGAGCAAAGCCCTGTATAATGACTTATAATATTAATCTTCCAGGGAAAGTACTAAAGTTTGCCTAGTTCAGATAATCTATCTCCTGCTCCCAATTATTCGAATCACTGCTAAGCCCCTTAAACTGTTTAGGGATTGATAGTAACAGGCAGTTGAAATCTAGTTATATGTATTACGATTTCTAAAACATCTATACAATCGGACGTTAGGTCTTAGCTTTGGAAATTTAGTGTATGCAATTAATAGCCATAAAATGGATTACAAAAGATCATCATTCTTGTGGTACAATGAGCAAGAAATTTTAGAGCAGAGGAAATAAGGGGACAGAGATTATGAGATTACAAGAGCAAGAGAAAAGGATAGTGGAGGGGAAAGAGTAGCTAGAAAGAGAACTCAAGGAGAGATGAGAAGGGAGAGAGAAAGTCAGACTGAGACTGACAGAATTAACTTTTCCTAAAGCACAGACTAATGTATCTAGGAAGTCTAAATATGGTCTTATCTAGAAGACTTCTCAAGGTCCTTTCTGGAACTGAAATTATGCATAAAGCTTAATTTTAACTCAATTTCTCAACCAAAATAAGTAAATGATCTCAGCTCCTGGTTAATATAATCATATATTTGCTTACTTAAATTTTCTTAAATTTCTGAAACATTAGTTACAACATTTTAAACCTAAAATTTTGATCATTTAGTAACGGCAAAACTCTCAATAACTGAAAACATCAACTGGTAGCACGCATTTGAAAAAGAAACAACTATAGAATGGCTTATAATGAAAATACCTGCTCATTTGCTTTTCATCTATTAACCCCAATAAACGTGGTTAGGTCTCTTCTAGCCCTATCTCTTTCTGCCAACTACCTTATTTTAGGTGTCTCCAAATGAACTCTTTTGAGAATAAGTCATTTTAAAAATAAACAGCTGCCCTCTTACTACAACTGGTTGCTAGAATGGCTTATAAAGTGGAATATATCAATTACTCCTCTAAACTTTACACTTTTCCTATGGTTAGATAGGAAACAGATACAATTATCTGTGAAGTACTTGTCTGGAATAGCCATAGCAGTTGCCCAAATTTCCACTGAAGACAGTATATTCCCCAAGCAAACCCACAACCCATGACTTCTGAAGGGTTTAAGGCAGGAATAGTTAACAGTGTAAGAGAAGAAGGCTTTAAGGTAAGGCCCATTCCAAGCTTAGAGAAAGCTTCTTCCAAGATCTGATTTAAACACTGAAACTCAGGCTCAGCAATGTTAAATGAAAAAACATGCAAAACAGAAATCTTTAGGTAATACTGAAATGTCATTTTAGACATGAGCATCAAAGTTTAATCTCATGAAATATTCAGCCATCAGTAATGTTAGCAAGTAAAAGTAAAATGGAAAAACTGAAAATTCTTCTCTTTTGCCTGTCTTTGTTCTCTACCAAGGGGAGAACTGGCTTAAAGATGGGCCACTGAACAGAAAAAAACAAGTAGAACTGGTGGTAATATTCTTTTTTTTTTTAGAATGAGTCTCACCCTGTCACCCAGCCTGGAATATAACGGCGCAATCTTGGCTCACTGCAGCCTCTGCCTCCTGGGCTCAAATTGAGTCTCCTGCTTCAGCCTCCTGAGTAGCTGAAATTACAGGCACCCACCACCAATCCCAGCTAATTTTTATATTTTTAGTAGAGACAGGGTTTCACCATGTTGGCCAGGCTGGTCTCAAAATCCTGATCTCCTGATCCGCCTGCCTCGCCTCCCAAAGTACTGGGATTCCACGCATGAGCCACGGCACCAGGCCTAATATTCTTTAAGTCTTTCTTATAAGCATGGTACCTCAGAATTATAATCTCTGCCAATATAAAAATAAACAAAACATTTGCATATTATTACGCTCCACAAGTGAAACAAATGTTGACAGCAATTGCAGAGTCACTGTATTATGGAAGCAATGCCATCACCACCAAATATCAATAAAATATATTAACTTCTTCAACTATTCCTACATTCTAGGTTAATCCACAAATATTTTTAGAAATATTTTAAGCAATTTAGATGAGCAACTTCTAAAATATTTTATTTGAATACCACAGATATTTTTTCAATATAATGTTTATAGCTGTGTCAAACTTTTACCTAAATAGAAAAAAAAATATTTAATTATTCATTAACATATTCTTTGTAAATTACAATATTTAAAATACATGGGGGAAATGTGTTTTATTTATAAGCAATGCTGGGTATCGCATTAAGAAAACACTGCCAGGAACAGTGGTTACTGTCTCTAATTCCAGCACAGTGGGAAGACAAGGCAGGCATATCATTTGAGCCCAGGAGTTCAAGACCAGCCTGGGTGACATGGGAAATCCTGTCTCTATAAAAATTAGCTGAGTGTGGTACTCCTAGCTACTCAGGAGGCTTAGGCAGGAGGATCACTTGAACCTGGGATGTAGAGGCTGCCATTAGGCATGACAGCACCACTGCACTTCAGCCTGGGTGACCGTGAGACCTCGTCACTAAAAAAAGAAAACATCTATTATGAAATAGAGAAAAAGAGATCTTCAAACCTCAAATACTTATTTTTGATGTCTCTGAAAATTTTACTGTTTCTTTGAGGGTAAGTTCACATATTTCCTTTATATGTAATTAGTGTGAGATAATACACTAGAAATTGATACCTATTTTTCATACCTTGGAATGCAGAGATAACAAATACAGATTGATCTGTTAAAAGCTGTGACTTAAATAATGGGAATTATTGTTTTTATGTTCAAACATTTAATCCATGGTTATGATAGGCTACTGTGACTTCATAAGAGGCATATAGAGAAAACATCTCCCAAGAGCAAAGAAAAAAAAGAAAGCATAGTGTTCTACATGGCCTCCCAGCCTAGTTTCCTTCTTACTTCCAGTGTTTTTTGACACAGCAAAGATGGTTAAAAAGCTTGGCCTTTGACTTCTGTATATGGCCCACGTACTCAAAATAAACTTGCAAAGATGTTAGCAATTTTTAGTATTTAGAGGGTGCAAGAAATAGCTGTCTTTATCAACTGTGCTCAGAGACAGCACATTACACCTAATGTTTCAAGGAGATTGTGGATCAATATTATAGATCAATGATTTTATTTAGACAAATTATAGAATTCTACGTAATTTAATTGATGACATAAACTCTATATTCTACCTAAACACAGTGGGAGATAAACAAAGATCTAAATTATTTAAAAAGAAAGTTAAAATAACCAAGTCAGCTAGTATTTTAGCATTTCAAGCCTGTTTAATGAAGAAAGTATTCCAGATTTTTTTTCCCCTCTAACTGAGCTGGAATAGATGTCAGTTCTTAACAACAATGTATTTAAACATTCTGGGTAACTAACCTTGGGTTACAATGATCATTCTGTCAAAGTGGCTTTTAGTTTCCTTATTCCCACCAGATAAACTAAGACTAACTTTCACAGGGATACATACAAAACCAAGAAGCCAACACTCAGCAACTTTATCACTGCTTAGCAAAATAACAAACCTTATCTTCTATACTGTATGTGATATACTGCAGTTAAAAAAAGGCATGGATACTTTTTAAAAAAGGTTTTCTATCTCAAATCTTACAAATCCAATTCATCTCAGAGAGGGCTATTATTTAATAAGCACTACGAATTTCAAAACTGACACTGCTTGATCATTTATGTCTACAAACCTGAGATATTTGTAAGGTTGATACAATTTTCTAATCTTGAGAGGAAAATTCATTTTGGATACTACTGTAAAGATAAAAGCAGTATCAGCTTAAATACACCATGGCTTCAATGTGCTAAATATACAAAATTAGTCTCTTTCACAGCATTTGACAAAAAAAGAAAGAAAAAACTGCACAGAATCCATGTTTCCATTTGAACAATTTTCCCTTCTTTGTTTACTTTTTAATATTTTGATTCTTTTTTAAAAAGTTCTTTTTCCAATTACAGGAAGGAAATAAAAAGAAATGCAACTCTTTCATGTAAAGTAAATCCATCTGGATGTTTGCTGCATCCCATAGTATAAACCTGTGATCCCCAACCAGAATGAGTTATAGTAAAGCTGCAGGCAAAATTGTCTCCATATACCACAATCCATTATCCCTGTCAAGTTAATGTTCCATGTTGAGCCATATGGCACGGGTACACATTCAACAAAGGAAATTCCTTAAACTTGTTATAATCAGCACTTGCAGTCATCCAAAAAACTGACATAAACAGCTTTATTGTGTTTAGTGCATTTCAGTTAATATCCATGACAAAAACAGGAAACAGTACAGGAAAAGGGGGAGGAACGTGGGGGTGCACAGCTATTAAAAAATACACAAAAAAACCCCTCAAACTGTACATTTTATAATTTGATTTTTTTTCCCTAAGCAGGTGATTTTCAATTACAGTACGCTCCAACCTCTTGACAATGATCCACTGGGCCAGATTTAAATGAGAGAGAGAAAAAAATTAATGGCATCAATTTTCCATGGTATGAGCAAATCTAAATCTTGAAGTCTTAATCGTATCTGATTCATATAAGGCAGTTCTGGCAAAATAATGAATGATCTGAATTTTCATGTTTGTTTTCTTTCTACAGTTGTCTCATAATTGCTGAAATCTAATGAAGCTTCATTAAAAAAATAAGGCAATTTAAATAAAGTATCTTTATATGCATTAAGTGTAGGTCACAAGTGAATCACGGGCTCCCAGACGCCTTTGGTACCTGGCGCAG